AGAGAGAGAGAGAGAAATTGTTAACCGATGTATTAACCTCGCGGTTGACCGGTCATCGAGGTTTGATCTTATCAATATCTCGATCGAGGGAGCTTGGACGAGAGAACATTGTCGGCTGATGAAATTACGATGATATTAAAGAGGATCGCCAAGGAATTTCACCTGCGTCTTTGGTTTAATTAAATATCGAGATCGTGTAATTTTTAAACACAATAAATTTTAAATCAATTTCCACTGTTATACGAGGAGGAGATAAAAATTATCATTCACGCCAAAGATATCCAATGATCGAACGCGGGTTCATTTATTACTCGAGTTATTTTTTTTAGCTCGATAAAATCTGCTACTAGGATATACGATTTTATCTTCGAGATATTTTTCCCGTTCGAGCGAAATCATCGTTTTCGAATCGAGAGAATCATTAATAACGCGAGTGGTAAAGCAAGAAGAAAGAAAGAAGGAAAAGTAAACGCTTTCGTTTCGCAATCCCGATCTTAGTAATATCTTTCACGAGATAGAAAGAGGAGAAGAGGAGAAGATTACTCACCCTGCTCGCACTCGTCGATGTCCTCCGAGCAGTCGACTCCCTTGTAACCGGTGGCGCAGGAGCAAGCGAACGATCCGTTCACCGGGCTCGTGTCGCAGATCGCGCCTTCGTGGCAAGGATTCGAGGTGCAAGCGTCGTCCAGATGGCACAACAAACCTGTAAACCAGAGATTTAGATTTATCATTCCTGTCGAAGATAAAAAGAAAAAAAGAAGAGAGAGAGAGAGCGCAAGATCGACGCAACTGTGAACTCCGCCATTTTGAAGGGGACCTGAATAATACACTCCGTGTATACTTGTTTCTAGGACAAAAGTGTCGATCGCCAAACATGGCGTGAACGATGGCCAAAGATGGACATCATTAAGAGCTGTGGTTAACGTAACGTCGGCTCTAAAAATGTTACGCACTCTCGTATGCGAGAGGAAGAGGAAGAGGAGAGTGACAAATCCCAACGATCCACGTCGATCCACGTTTCGTATTCGGTAAATTGCTGGAAATACCTAGGCTAGGCTTAAACGATAAGGTCTAATTGGTCCGCGCGAACAGCCGTGGAAACTCGTGGAATTTCGATTGGAATTGCACCGAGAGCTCTACTCTGATGCGCGATTAAAAGTATTAAACGGGTATTGAGCTATGGTGTAATTGAACTTGCGCGGTGTACACGCCGGTATACAAAGAGGATTCGTTCCTGGAAACTGTTTCGAAAAATTTATCCCTCGATTAATGAATAGATACCATTAAGGAGTTACAAAGGAACGAGGACGTCAAGGCAATTCCAACTATTCGAACGGAATTAAAATAGTTCCGCGTGATGGATGATCCAAAGATCTCTCGAAATGGAGAAACTTCAATTTCTCTCCAACAGTTCTTCACCATTAATCGTTTCTTCCTTAAGATTTTCATTTCACTGTGAACTCAAAAATCTGTAAATTTTCAATCGAATATTTCGAACTCATCGAGTCGGTTCACGCTTATTCCCAATCTGTCTATTAATCTAAAATTTCTTCGGTATTCGTACGTTCTTCAAAGTGGATCACTTCTTCTTATTTTTATATATTAAAATTTATTCCATTCGGCGCGTTTCATCAGTGAGAAAAAACCGTAACAATGGTTTGTTGGTCACCGGTAACAATGGGTTTCGATGGATCCCGATTAACGGGACACGGGCGTCTAGGATGTTCGCGCATAAAGCGAAGGGAACCGACAGATGCACAATTACTACACCCGCGAGTAACTGTAACCACCGCGTCCATGGAGAAACATGGAGTCCACTTCAACATGAGATCTCGAGATTCTTAACTTTAAGAATACGCCTCGTTGAAATCCGGCGAGAAAAACACCTTCTCGAATCTTTGTCGTTCACACCAAGTGAGAACGAATAATTTCGCGCGTGATAAATGTAAATTAACGACGAGGAGGAGGATGATCGTCGAATTCGTGGGATCGGAAGGAAGGACCGTTATTTTTTTTTTAACATTTCTTTCCCACGATTCAAGTTTTGTTGAAAATAAGTAAGAAGAAGAGCGTGGATTTTTATGCATTTAAACTAAATACGTTCCTATTATATACAACGATCTCCATGAAATTATATTAATTGGAAAAAATCTATTCGCACAAGTCTAACAAGAAACGAATAATAATTCAAATTTCTCGAACGATTTCGCGCAAAATTCATTCGATCAACAACTCCGAGATTAAAATTATTCCTTTTAAAGCGACCAACGAGTGACGAAACAGAGGTTCATCGGAAACCAGAAAAATCGGTTAGAACGGAGGAAAGAAACGGCGCGTCGCATTCGTTCTCATCGCTCTCCCCTCCCCCCAAAACTGGAGAGGCTTCTAGAAGGCGCGCGCGAATTCCTTCGTTTCAGATTTCCCGGGCGCAGAGGAAAAAGCTGCAGCAAAGCTGGACGTCGGTGGAATCGCGATCACGTCGCGGGGGCAAAACAAGGATGCCTGTATTTGGCGATCGGCGTGGACGATCGATCTGAAAAGCTTGCACCCGGCCCCTTGGTAGGCAAGTAAGGACAGAAACTTGTTTTCAGTCCTCAAGGTCGTCGCTCGGTAAGGCTAGGCTGCGCCTCCGGAATCCCGGGATTCCAACGGACCCTCCGTTGGCTGCATCATATTGTTGCACGTGCAGATGCACCTGCCTGCCTGCCTCCGTTCATCCTCTCGCGATGCATAATAGCGACACGATATTCTCTCTTTCTCTCTCTCTTTCCTTCGATTCGATTCCACGGGGGACGAATTCTGTTCCAGTGATTCGAGGATTCGATCGAGTTCGCTTCGATTCGTCGTTGGAATTTTTCATGATTTTATTCATAGGGGCGAGATCGAAACGAAAATCGATTTTTGTTTTTTTTTTTTTTTGGTTCGATATCAGGTGATCGACAGGTGCAGTGATTGTTGATGGTTAATAGGGGAGATTCAGAATTTTACGAGAATTGATTTGTCCAAATGCAGTTAAATATACAAAGGATGAAAACAGAAATACAAGGTGAATTTTTATATTTGTATAAGCTTGAATAAATTGAAGAATCGATAGGAAAATTTTTAAGCAATATCGTAAACTGCTACCAAGTATAGTTTCATTCGAAAAAACGAGTTTCAACGCGAACCAGTTTCAGAAACGTCCAATTAAATTTTTGCTCCTGCGTTCCGATCTCCATAAAATTTCCACCCCATCGCCCCTTTCTGAGGATCGGGCGACAGTATTCGAGGAAATCGCGTGTCAACGAATCGTTAGACTCACCGGTCTTCCCGTAGGTGCATTGACAATAAAAGCTGCCAACACGGTCGATGCAGGTAGCGCCATTGAAGCAGGCGGCACCTGCGCAATCGTCGATGTTGACGCTGCAGTCGGGCCCTGTCCATCCATTCACGCATATGCACGAGTAACTACCGGGTGAATTGGTGCACGTGGCACCGTTGTGGCACAACGATGGACGAACCGAGCACTCGTCCACGTCCAACTCGCACTGCGTCCCCGTGTACGACGGTGGACAAAGACACGAGTATTCGTTTATCCTGTCTATGCAGGTCGCCCCGTTCTGGCATAGATTCCCTGGACAGTCGTCGATGTTCTCCTCGCAATGATCTCCGCGGAAACCTGGAAAAAGAGGTTAGGATAATGTTAAAAAAAAGTGATACAAATCTTGGAAAGAAATTAATTCGATTCGTATTCGACCAAGTTTTATAAGAAACGCGTTGCTTTCGTGTTGATCTTTCTTGTACTGTTTACTGTTGCAAACAAGTGTCGCGGGACGTGTCCTTCGCTAGGACCGCCTATCCCCACTTCACACTTGTCACTTGTTGACAATCCGCACACGCTGTACAGTATAGTAAAAGAGCTATAATTTGAATTGTATCCAGCTTATTCGTACACGTACAATTATCATCTTTATCAACTATTCGAATACGAAATTACATTTATAAATTAAACTCGTTCGTTGAATAATTAGCCTACGCGTGTTACGAGAAATAAAAATATTTTGCATCGAGGTTTTGGAAAGAAAAATGCGCGTGAAAAATTCCGCGAGACTTTTTTCGAAATCAGTGAACAGAGATTGAGAAAGAATGCTGCGAACGAAAAAGATTCCAAGGATGTTACGTTCCACGTTCTATCGATGATCGTCACGGTCGTAAAAGAGAACTCGCTATTGCCACGCTACATTTCCTCGTACGTTGTGTCGTGTAGTAACACCACAGAAAGAAAATAGGAATTCTTATATTAAAAGCGGAGTCACGGATACTAACGCGAGACTTTTATCGTTCCACGAATTTATAGTTGGCTTGGAAGAAAGGACAGGGTAAACCCGAGTAAGAAAAGGATCGACGGGGGACGAGATAAAGCGATATAGCTCGATAACCGTGAAATTGATAGTCGTCTGTGTGTGTCGATCGAGTTTTCTGCCATGGTGCGCGCGCGCGGTTAACGAACGTGATGATGAAACAAGATCCGGGCATCACGTTCCACATCTAACTGTTTAACGGAGAAAATATTCATTCTGATTCTTGAACGTATCTCTTCTGAAAGACGAGGAAGCGATATCGTTATATATAGCGTTTAATTGCAATAACGAAAACCAACGAAGAGAGGAAAGGAAAAAAAGAAAAAAAAGAAAAAGAAAAAACAAAGAAACATGGCGTAAATAGAGAGAAAGATCGAGGGGATCGATGTAGCATGACGATCGATTCTTTGCGTGGCTGTTCGTCTAGAAGAATAAAATGCATATTTATAGGTTGCGGTTAATGGATCTGCTAGGCGATTTTGCGACGCTGTTCAATCAACCCGATCGAGGAGAAGAACCGAGGAAATGTAATAAGAATTTAAAAAAAGGTGTGTATTTCTAATTTAATGCTAATGCTATTCCACGAGGAGATTTCTTTTTTTTTTTTCGGCTCTAAACCGAGGAAGGATAGAATTAAGATTAGCGAACCAGGAAATAACGTTTAAATGAGTATAATGTAAAATTACACTATTATTTATATAAGAAAAATCGTTCTCCCCGACGGTAGAGCGCAAAAGCGTTTTTGTTATCTATCGATAATATCGAAGTCGGTGGTCAACTCGATGCAAACTCGATCGTGAACCACCATGCTCTTACCAACTCTAATGGCGCGCATAATTTATGCTCGATAGAGCGGTTAACTAAACTTCCTACGTCGGATCCCCCTTGCATCGATTCGCGAGCCGACATACGCGCGTTTTGTTCGACGGCAACGAAGAAGAAGAAGAAGAAGAAGAAGAGGAGGAGGAGGAGGAAAAAAAAAGGAATCTCGGAATATGTATATACCCCACGACGTTATTATACCAGCGAACAGGGGCGTAACATTAATATTAAAGCAATGCAAAAGTAAATCGGCCGTTTTCGCGTGCGCCATTACAGGCCATGCCATGGAACCGGACGTCAGGATTCTCCGATCTTCGTCGATTCTTTTGCCATCGCGTCTTTCCATCGCGTGTACGATTATTGTTGGATCAGCATTGATCGAAAATTATAAGAATAGTTTCACGTGGATATCCAACGAAATCCACATAGATTTTTTTTCCGTAATAATAACAATCTTGGAATCTTTGAATAGATATTCTTTTCTTTTACAGATTCTTCCACAATTGTTCCAGGGAAAAAAATTCGATTTCTTTTGGAAATAAGTCGAGTCGAGAACGCCACTATCCACGATTAAACGATCGGTTTTCGCGGAGAAGTACAAAAAAAACTTCCTCTCTCAAGAAATCTTGTGTGGCGAAATTACAGGCATCGCGGATCGCGAAGAAATTCGCGAAGCAACAGATGGTTGGTTTACGCGGCGGGGCTTCGAGTCGAAATTTCGGCAGGGATTCGAAACTGGAATTTCGAAGAGGAGGTTTCCCTTCTCGTGTTACCGCAGGAGGAGGGAGGGGATTGCTCGCCGGTTTACACGCTACCGTGAGACTTCGTTTCGCCAAAGTCGTAAAACTCACGAAATTACAATACTTTCCTCGAATGTACACAAATGGCGCGAGGAACACACGACTAAGGAGAGATAAGGAGCGCAACGTTCTTTCCTTTTCTTCTCCGTTAAATCGACGACGTTAAATCGAGTGAGACTTTTCTGGCTAGAGAGAACGCGAGAGAAGGAAAGTAGATCGATCGTCCCTTGGGCAAGAAGGAGATATAAAGTGCGAGGAGAAAAAGTGCGAGGTGAAGCGCGAAGGTATCGGCACGGTTCTGCTTCGAATCGATTGCTTTCAACATCGAAATTGGCGGGGACAAAGGGGCGGAGGGCCGTGATCGGAACACGATGCTAAAATCCGCGTGTTTGCTGGCCGATTCGTTCCGCATTCGCAGGGGCCGTTGCGCGCGTCATCCTTTCATCCAACGGTGGCCGGCCATCTTCCCTTTCGATCATTCGGCATCGACGCGCCTAAAAAACCTGCCACGATGGAACATCGAGCGAGACCAACTCTCTTCTTTCCTCAAACTCCACTCTGTGAAAAACTCTTTAATCTTACGTATGCAAAAATAGCGGCGAAGAACGTAATTTTAATTAGTTTTTCCTCCATCTTTCTGATCCGACGATTTAACAAAAATCGAAAAAATCCACTCGAAATCATCGTAATCGAACGAACGGATTTAACGTGGAAGGAAACGTGCCCTTCCTCTCTCTCTTTCTCCTCGCACCAGGAAGTAGTATCCATATAAATACAAGGATTGGCATCGTTAACGAGCAGGCCTTATTTCCATAAGGTACGAGCGCCTCCTGTTCCCGGAATCCTGCCAAACCCTCGAAGCCCCAGTTCCCTCTGTAATCCGATGGAGCAATATAATGGCGGGCCCAAGGTATACAACGCATGAAGTAGAAAAACGTGGGGCGCGATGATGATTCGAATGAAAATAAAAGAGAAGAAGAAGAAGGTTGGGACGCTCTCTCGATGGAGATTACGCGTGCGTGGGTGCGCGTTGGAAAAGAAGGGAACAACGTTCTCTCCACCACTTATAAATCAAGCCGAGGGACGACGGAGGGCCATAATTGCAATTGTCCATGAGGCTCGCAGCCCAGATCGGAACGATCAAGGGACCGCGTGTGCGTGCGCCTATCCGCGTGTTGCGCCGGCAATACTTATACGTGTTTGCGTGAGTTGCGGACCCTATTCCGACCAAGGATACGTATCCGTTACTTCGTTACAGATGCAGGGCCGTAACGAGCGGAACACCGGTATAAATCCGGCGTACCGTGTTCCTTTCCTCTCTCTCTCCTCTTCTGCTCTTTTTCCATCCCCCTTCATCCCCTTCTCTGTTTCTCCTTTTCTTCCTCTTCTCTCTCTCTCTC